GGAGGAGGAGGAGGAGGAGGAGGAGGAGGACGACTGTGGGGTCCTTAATTCTCTCACAGCTTGTTTGTTTTCCTGTAGATGTTTCATTACCCAAACAGATAACATCATTAGCGCTAAAAGTTTGTGGTGTTTGCTCTCCATTTAATGTTTTTAATCTGTTTATTGACAGATTTTTCCTGACAGTGATTAGGCTGCTATTTGCTGTTAACCTGTTTGTCTGAGTTGGCAGTTCCTTGATTGGGGTATTGTTTAGTTCTTGATTGTTGGTCTAGTATTAAACTTGGAGTTTAGCGGGCATTATATCAAGAGAACAAAGCCCTCTCCCTTCTAGCATGGATGACGTTATCTAGTTGGGTAATGAAATGTTTGCAAGAAAACAGCCAAACAAGGATCCTACAAGGAGTGACAAATATTCTATTGTCACATATCAATTTGAGGCATTTCAGAAAATAAAAAGGGAAACATAGCAACCAACTCCCCAGGTTTCTTCAAATCTTGTTTTCTTCAAACTGTTTAAAGTACTGGAGGATTTTCTCCATGCTCATTTCCAGAAATGACTCTCCGTTTTTAGAAACCTGGAAGGAACACATTTTACAGTAGTTCTAAAATAAAACCTCTTCAGAGAACTGCATTAAGTTGTTATTGTTTTCACACAGGTTCCAACACTTACACAAAGAAGACGGAATCAACACGGACTCAAGATCATCAGAATAACAGAGCTGGAAGGGATCTTGGAGGTCTTCTAGTCCACTGGTCACCAACTGGTGGTCTGCAGAAAAATGATTTGCATTTTTTATATTGCACTCAATCAGGGGTCCTCAAACTACGGCCCCTGGGACGGATATGTGCAATGGACGCTTGTGTTGCTGCAGAGAGTCTCCCCCTTTGGGGTCTTTTTGTGTGGGTCAGAGGGGGGGCAGAAATTCCAACTAGGGGTCTGCTTCAATCTCCTTTGGACAAAGGCTAGAGGGAAGAGCCTCTGGTGGAGAAGAGCCAGAGGGCCTCGTTCCAGTGGGACTGCATCATGGCCTGGAACTGGCTGACCATCTCAGCCCACTGAGCCTCTAGGCACTGGTACCTGGCCTTGCAGGTATCCCGCAGGTCTTCCCTCTGCTTGGAAAGCCCATGCTTGTAGTCCTCAGTGAGGTGCTTCTGCTGAGCCTCCTCCTCGGTCAGATCCAATTCGAACTGAGCCTATTTGTCAACTCTTTCTCCTGGTGGCTGCTTAGCTCCAGCAACGGCTTCCTCTTGGGGCCCTAAGGAGCCCAGGTGGGCAGAGGAGGAGGGACTGGGAGGGGAGGGGCGAGGAGAGGCTGGCGAGGCGTCCCTCGACGTGAGTGACATCGAGCTGGCCACGCCCACCCAGTCACATGACCACCTAGCCACACCCACCCAGCTGGTCATTAGGCAAATCATATTACTGGTGCACAGGGTTTAAAATTATGAAGTTAATGGTCCCTGAGGTCCGAAGGATTGGTGACCCCTGATCTAGTCCAACCCATTGGTCATGCAGGAGACCCTTTACCAGACAAAGGGTTGTCCAAGCTTTTCTTTAAAACCCTCCAGTATTGATTCACAACTTCTGGAGGCAAGTTGTTCCACTGATTAATTGTTCTAACTGTCCGGAAATTTCTCCTTAGTTCTAAGTTGCTTCTCTCCTTGCTCGGTTTCCACCCATTGCTTCTTGTCCTCCCTTCAGGTGCTTTGGAGAATAGTTTGACTCCCTCTTCTTTGTGGCAAACCCTGAGAAATTGGAAGGCTACTATCATGTTCCTCTCCTCTTCACTAGATTAGACATACCATCCCTTCTCTCTGCATCAACTCAGGAAACTCAGACTGCGCCAAGCAGCTGCTGATTCTGTTCTACAGAGGGATGATTGAGTCTGTCATCTGCACCTCCATAACTGTCTGGTTTGGCTTTTCAATCAAACAAGACAGACACGGACTTCAATGGATAATCAGAACTGCAGAGAACACGATGGCCAGCAACCTGCCTTCCGTTGAGGACCTGTACACTGCAGGAGTCAAAAAGTGTGAAAATATCTACAGACCCCTCCACATCCTGGACATAAATTGGTTCAACTTCTACCCTCAAATTTGTATTTGTATTTTATTATTTGTATGCCGCTCTTCTCCGGGAGGACTCAGGGCGGCGAACAATTCAAGGGGGGGAAAAAGGGGGAACATAAAAAGACAAAATACAAATAATAAAAGTAGGCAACAGTCGCACAACCATACATGTCGAGAGGGGAGGGAACTCATC